ACACACACACACCAGATTTAAGAACAACAAAGAAATCAACATTTAAATGCTTATTTGACAGATTTTCTGGTATTAAGTTTTTTTTGAGGGATGTTTTGAATTCCACTGAAGCTGTTTGCAGTGTTAGTAAGTGTGTGTGTGTGTGTGTGTGTCTCCCTCCAGTGGATCCTGAAGTACGGCTGTTTCCCGGTGCGGTTCGGCTCCACGGTCACAGTGTCCGTTCACAAAGACAGAGAGATTCTGATCCGTCAATCTCACACCGTCACACTCACAGGTCTCTCTCTCTCTCACACACACACACACACTCTCTCTCTCTCTCTCTCACAAAGACAGAGAGATTCTGATCCGTCAATCTCACACCGTCACACTCACAGGTCTCTCTCTCTCTCTCACACACACACACACACACACACACACACTCTCTCTCTCTAAAAATGTCCCAAATCTGCACCACAATACTGAAGTTCAGCATTTCTATGTGCTGTTTTTAACCAGATGATGATGTTCCAGTGCCTGAAGCCCGTGTCTCTGCGGACGACCGTGATAAACACTCAGGTGTCAAGCTCACAGGTCTCTCTCTCTCTCTCTCTCTCACTCTCTCTCTCTCTCTCTCTCTCTATATATATATATATATATATATACAGGGGTTAAAGTGGCCCGGAACGGTCCGGAACTGCGTCCCGGCACCTCAGATAAATTAATAAATAAATAGATTCATTAATCTCAACGAATCTCGTTGGTCCCGATATGGGCCGACCGACCGACCTCCCTTCCTCCCCGCTGAACGCGAGTGATTTACAAAGTGGTTGAGCGCGGTAAAGTTAGTTTTATATTTCGCCTTACATTTGTTTTCCCGAGCCACTGTTCTATAGGGTCTTACAAAGAGATCAATAGCAGGATTAGTTTTAACATTATGTAACCACTGTATATCGACATTAAATATTCGTTCAAAATCACCTACGTGCATTAATGCTGCATATTTATACCTGAGAATGCTTTGACGCGTTTGCACTGCGCATGATGAGGGAACGTCTGCCAATTCCACCAACTGTGTTAAACGTAGCCTATAATTTGTATTATTTAAAATTACTTTTCAAATTCCAAAGCTTGTAGAAGGTGGCAATACTGACCTGTAGCCTTGAGTAAATTAACTTGTATAAGAAAATGATTCATAAAACATAAATAACAGTTAAGCCTATGTTTACTTTCTTCACTGACACAGACGAAAATGAAAAGACTATCAGTCAAAGTTCAGCTTTAGGAGGGGAAGAAATAGGGCAGGATTAGGAGGCAGAAAAAGAAAGATGTAGATGAGGAGAGAGCAGGTATTGACAAAATAATCTAATGCCCACTCAATCACATGGTTTTAAAGCTATTTATTATCCTTTTTTTTTTGGCCTTCAAAAGTCTTAAATTGCCTAGCCCTAACCCCCAACCCCCTAAATACCTCTCATTTGAATGCACATGTCTGTGGGCGGGGCTGTGGATGATAATGTGGCCGGCGTGGCTACAGATTTTCGTCCCAGTGTTAAGCAATTTGTACTTCGTATTGTCATCATATCAGTGTAGATGGGCCAAAATAAAACCATTAAAATATCAAGTAAATGAGTGATACTTGGTGCCACAGCGATACTCTTGACCCAAAAAGTATTATTGCTATACCACGATACTCAATATGTTGTCCCACGGTGAGGCATTTTTCCCTGTTGCACCTACACAAAATATGAGGGTTCCCCCACCTGCCAAATCCCACTTTAACCACTGTATATATATATATATATAATATAAATGTCTAAAGTTTATTGAAGTTCTGCCAAATTGACTGCCTTGACGTGTGTGTTCCCAGATGCTGCGGATCCAGTGCCTGACGCCCGTGTCACTGCGGACGAGCATTATAAGCGCTTCACTGTACGGCTGGAAACGGACCGCATGGTGAAGATCAGCCTGTGCTACAAACACTCCTTCCGGGAGTGTGTGGGGTTTCATTTTCAGAAGGTGAGTGAAAGATTATAAAGAAATGAACCAAACCAAGAAGTAATTGCAACATTTTAAGGATTGTAATCCCTGTTTTGGAGCAAACGATCTCTGCCTCATCTTACATCATCGAGGAGTCGTGTGTGTGTGTGTGTGTGTGTGTGTGTGTGTGTGTGTGTTGCAGATCGATGCGGCTGTCCATCAAACCGTCAATCTGAGCTTCCCGTACCTGGTTCCGTGTGTGTGTGTGCAGGTGTGCTGCTCTTACACACTCTTCAAACGTCATTTCACATTTAATTTAGTTTTTTTCTAACAATAGTAATGTGTAACATCTGCATTATACTGTATTCACAGCTGTGGTTCACAGGCCCTGATGCCAGAAGAGTCACACACTGCCCTCTAAAGGAGAGAACACTGCCACGTGAGTCCGTGTGTGTGTGTGTGTGTGAGTGAGAGTCCGTGTCTGAGTGTGTCTGTGTGTGAGTGCGTGTGAGAGTGTGTGTGTGTGAGTGCGTGTGAGAGTGTTTGTGTGTGTCTGTGAGTGTGAGTAAGAGTCCGTGTCTGAGTGTGTCTGTGTGAGTGCGTGTGAGAGTGTGTGTGTGTGTGTGCACTTGTTTTTATTACATTGTGAGGACCAAATGTCCCCACAAGAATAGTAAAACGTGAAACCACCTACATTGTGAGGACTAGCCAATGGTCCCCACAAGGGAAATTGTGTGAGTGTGAGCGTCCGTGTCTGAGTGAGTGAGTGTGTGTGTGTGTGTGTGTGTAGAGTAAAGCGTGATCACTCAGGAGTGATGGTTGTGTTGGGTCAGTCAGTGTGTGTGTGTGTGTGTGTGTGTGTGTGTGTGTGTGTGTGTGTGTGTGTGTGTGTGTGTGTGTGTGTGTGTGTGTGTGTGTGTGTGTGTGTGTGTGTGTGTGTGTGTGTGTGTGTGTGTGTGTGTGTGTGTAGAGTGAAGCGTGATCACTCAGGAGTGATGGTTGTGTTGGGTTAGTGTGTGTGTGTGTGTGTGTGTGTGTGTCCGTGTCTGAGTGAGTGTGAGAGTCCGTGTGTGTGTGTGTGTGAGAGTCCGTGTCTGAGTGAGTGTGAGAGTCCGTGTGTGTGTGTGAGAGTCCGTGTCTGAGTGAGTGTGAGAGTCCGTGTGTGTGTGTGAGAGTCCGTGTCTGAGTGAGTGAGTGAGTGAGTGAGTGAGTGAGTGAGTGAGTGAGTGAGTGAGTGAGTGAGTGAGTGAGTGAGTGAGTGAGTGAGTGAGTGAGTGAGTGAGTGAGTGTGTGAGTGAGTGTGTGAGTGAGTGTGTGAGTGTGTGAGTGAGTGAGTGAGTGAGTGAGTGTGTGAGTGTGTGAGTGAGTGAGTGAGTGAGTGAGTGAGTGAGTGAGTGAGTGAGTGAGTGAGTGAGTGAGTGAGTGAGTGAGTGAGTGAGTGAGTGAGTGAGTGAGTGAGTGAGTGTCTGAGTGAGTGAGTGAGTGAGTGAGTGAGTGAGTGAGTGAGTGAGTGAGTGAGTGAGTGAGTGAGTGAGTGAGTGTGTGAGTGAGTGTGTGAGTGAGTGTGTGAGTGAGTGAGTGAGTGAGTGAGTGAGTGAGTGTGTGAGTGTGTGAGTGAGTGAGTGAGTGAGTGAGTGAGTGAGTGAGTGAGTGAGTGAGTGAGTGAGTGAGTGAGTGAGTGAGTGAGTGAGTGAGTGAGTGAGTGAGTGTGTGAGTGAGTGAGTGAGTGAGTGTGTGAGTGAGTGAGTGAGTGAGTGAGTGTAGAGTAAAGCGTGATCACTCAGGAGTGATGGTTGTGTTGGGTCAGTCAGTGTGTGTGTGGAGTGAAGCGTGATCACTCAGGAGTGATGGTTGTGTTGGGTTAGTGAGTGTGAGAGTCCATGTCTGAGTGTGAGTGTGTGTGCGAGTGCGTGTGTGTGTGTGTGTGAGAGTCCGTGTGTGTGTGTATTGTTCGAAGTCTCCACTGTAGAGTAAAGGTCTCTAACAGTATGCAGGTATTAGCAGTGTTTACATGCAAAGAAATAATCATTTTTTAATTTTAGTTAAAATTTTATTATTTTCCTTTGTATGTTTTTGACATTTTTATTAGTTTTGTTTGTTTTGCATTTTAAAAATGTCTATAGTTTTTATGAACGTTTTTGTTTTGTTTTAGTACATCAAGTTAAACTAAATGAAAATGAGAAATGTTGCATTGGCAACTATCTGAAATCAAAAAAGTTAAAGATTATGTATATTTTATTTCAGTTAATGTTTATTTTATATTTTTAGTTTAAGTAACTAAAACAAAATAAACAAACCCATAGACAGTTTTTTTTTGGTTTACTAAAATAACCCAGCAAAAAGCTCAGTGAAACATTTTCAAGATGACGGATGAAGTGACCATTATGAAATATTATAAGGGAACTTCTATATTTTTATTTTTGTGCATTTGATGCATGAGAAGCTCTACTTGCTGCAATGTAGAGTTTGGAATCAGTCACTTTTAAGGATAGGGAATAAAAGACTAGCGCTGCACGCCGAGTGTGATGATGTGTTTCTGATCGTGTGACCTCAGTGTGTGTGGGTCGTGTTTGCATGTGTGTGTGACGGCACTCGTCCTCCTGCAGGTGGCGCTGATATCTTGTCCTCCAGCTCAGCACGAGTCCTCGGCTCGGTTCTGCATTGGGAGCCTCTCTGTCCTGACGACCAATCAGATGTCTCGGCCTCTCTGTGCTGGCGAATCGGCACGCAGAACTCTGACTGTGTCCCCGCCCCCAACGCCACCCTCTACGGGACTAAACTGGTACTGACGAAACCGTGAACATCACGAGCAGGACCGTAGCTAGTGTGAACAGTCACATTTACATACTCACTCACTTTCAAACGGGTGTATGAAACAGTCGTTCATATGCAACAATCAGTGTTTAAACAGTAGTGTGGTATATTGTTGTCACATGACCTCATCATATTACATGTTTTGTGTAAAAATGACTTTTAACAGTTCAGTCAAATGAGTAAAATTATGCAATTAATTCCTCACACTTAAAATTCAATGTGAACTTGGTTGCACTGCATATACTGTAGGTTTAGTCAAAATAAGTATTTCATGCCCAGTATAATAATAATAATAATATTTTAAAACATTTTTAGAGCTGTGAAACGTTTAATCACGATTAATCACATCCGAAATAAAAGTTTGTGTTTACATAATATATGTGTGTGTGATGTGTATAATTATTTTTTATATATAAACACACACACATGCATGTATATATTTAAGAAAAATGTGTTATTTATATATAATATAAATGATGTATAAATATATATGCACTATATACATGCAAATATTTCTCAAATATACGTCATGCATGTGTGTGTGTGTGTGTGTATATATATATATATATATATATATATGTATATATATATATTTTAGGGCTGTCAAATGATTAATCGTGATTAATCACATCCAAAATAAAAGTTTTTTTTGGGTGCACTGTGTATAATTATTTTATATATATAAATACACACACATGCTTGTATATATTTAAGAAATATTTTCATGTATATACTGTATATAGATTTATATATAATTTATATTATATATAAATATAAATATTTTCTATATAAATAATATTTTTTTCTTAAATATACATGCATGTGTGTGTATTTATATATATATATATATATATATATATATATATATATATATATATATACAAAATAATTATACACAGTTCACCCACATATATTATGTAAAAAAAAAACTTTTATTTTGGATGTGATTAATCACGATTAATCATTTGACAGCCCTAAAATATATATATATATATGTATATATATATATACAAAATAATTAGACACAGTACACACACACATATATTATGTAAACACAAACTTTTGTTTTGGACTGCGATTAATCGTTACATCTAATATTTTTATATAATGCCTTTCATGACCTCAAGGTCGCTTTACAAAGACATAATACATAATCCAAGCGGAACAAACAATACCTACATAAACATGTGAAATGCCATACCTGACATAATAATAATAATAAATAAATAAAGGCATAAATAAATAAATATATGAAGAAATGTAAAAAACAAAAATACATAAATAAATATACAAAGAAATATTGCTATGTCTGAGGTAAAACACGCCCCCCTCATTAGCATACAGAGGAAGAAATGTAGAAATAAATAAATGTGGAAATAAATAAATGTTGACAAATGCATATGTACATAAATAAATGAAAAATAAATAAATGTGGAAAAAAATATATTTATACATGAATAAGGAAATAAAGGTATAAATACTAATTTATTTTACTTTTTTTTTACATTTCTTTGTATATATTTATTTATTTATTATTATGTCAGGTTTGGCATTCCATAAACAGGGACAAATAGAAGTGGGAAACACGGCAGATGCATATATATTCTGAATGCATTTTGCTTTTTCTACAGAAATATAACGTGTCTGCTGTAGATGAGCATCCTCAGATGTGTGTGAAGGTAACGCACGCTCCACCACACATCAGTGCATGATTAAAAGTGTGTGTGTGTTTCTCAGGTGTGCGTACTTTGTTTGTGTTGTAGTTTTCTCTGCACGGCAGCCAGCGAGTGTTCTGTCCCTTCGAGTCAGGTGAGCAGCGCTCATGTGTTAGCACGTCTCGTCTGTCCTCGGGTCTGAGTGTGTGTGTGATGTTCCTCAGAGAGCCGATCTCAGTGGAGTGTGACGGTGGTTCCCGGGTCTCTGCGTCTGCATGTGTACCTGACGTCTGACACCGCCGCCGCGTTCGCTGCGCAGCTCTGCGTCCGAGATGAAGACGCGTGTGTATCTCGAGGACACGTCACCTCGCGTCAGCTGGTTAGTGAGATTTAGCTTTTAGCTTTTTTTTTGAAAAGTCCCCCTGTAGTCAATGATTGTATCACTTAAAACTCATCTTTGATCACCAAAATGACATATTTAAACGTGTTTTCCTTCGTCATGCCTTAAAATATCTTGAATGTAACTCGACACCCTCGCCTCATTTAGTATGCGCGGTTCTATGAATATGCAAATGAGCCCCGCCTCCACTCACTCACTCAGCTCAGAGATCCACTGGTTGACGATCACACGTTGATCTGATTGGTTACAAGCTCGTTTGTGACGTCAGAAACACCAGCGATTTCAAACCGTGTTTTTGAGACTGTCTTTGGTTCACTGCAGTTTTAAGGAGGAAATACTCAGCAATGCTGTCGACTTATGAACTTACACATGGTGTGTCTTAAAACGCATTAATAACACCACATAGACACATAAACAACATTAAAAGCTGGATTTACACCACAGGGGGACTTTAAGATAGTGTGACTACATAGTATAACTATGTAAATATTTTTTTTATTTCAGGATTCTTTGATGAATAGAAAGTTCATAAGAACAGCATTTATCTGAAATTGAAAGCTTTTGTGACATTAAACACTACCGTTCAACAGTTTGGGGTCAGTAAGCAATTTTTTTTTTTTTCTGGGGGAAATAAATAAAATAAATCAATACTTTTATTAATCAGGGATGAATTAAATTGATCAAAAGTGACAGTAAAGACATTTATAATGTTACAAACGATTATATTTCAGATAAATGCTGTTCTTTTGAACTTTCTATTCATTAAAGAATCCTGAAAAAACTGTTTTCAACACTGATAATAATCATAAATGTTTCTTGAGCATCAAATCCTCATATTAGAGTGATTTCTGTAGGGTCATGTGACACTGAAGACTGGAGTAATGATGCTGAAAGCTCAGCTTTATCACAGGAATACATTTTACTATATATTAAAATAGAAAACAGTTATTTTAAATTGTCATAATATTTAACAGTAATAATGTTTTTTTGTGTGTATTTTTAATCAAATAAATGCAGCCTTGGTGAGCAGAAGAGACTTTAAAACATTAAAAATCTTCCCGATCAAAGCGTTTGACTGGTAGTGTATATAATCCTCTCTATATGTACTGTATAACCCTCCCTCCTGTAATGCTGGTCTGCTCAGGACGGGGGCGCCGCCGAGATGAGCCTGCGCTTCCCCTTCCTCTCATCAGGACTGTGTGTGCAGGTAACACTGGGTTTATAACACTGTTCATCACTACATATGGCACACTAGCACACGACTCGTATGACCCGCAGAGAACACTGCAATGTGTCCGAACTACAGGTGTGACGAGACCCTCGTGCCACGATTCCATACATATCACGATACTGAACTATTATATTACTGCGATACTCCAAGACACATGATGAAAGGTTGACAAAAAATGAACTTGATTTAAAATGCTAAATATGGCGTTACATTGGGTGTAAATGAATAGGTTTGGACTTGGTGCTGAAACCCAAAGCACAGGACAATAGAGACGCCAGAATAACAATATTCATGAATCTGTAGCTGAAAATACAGAATTATTTTAGATGAATATGCTTGAACTCTGACTAGATATATTTAAAATAATGTCGGCCACTTTATACTGGTAACATCAGATATTTGACATTATCAAGAGCCACAAATATTCCCCCACTGCATTATTATGCATTATATTCAACATTATATATAGTACAGCACAGTCAACATTTGAAGTGGATCAAAACCTTTCGTCAAAGTTATACATGTATTTTGAACAATACCCCAACTTTGATGAACTTGCTTGATCCACTTCAAATGTTGACTACTGTAGTTTAATGTAGTACTGACACTAAAACTCTGTAAACTTGACTTTTTTTCTCAAGCAGTAATTTTTATTTTAAGTTAAATATCTAAACAATTTTTTGTATTGCGATATATTGTTACACCCCTAGTCTAAACGAATCCGAAGTGAAAATATAAATGCAAAATGACAGTAGTGTTGTATGTGCTAAACAATATTCTTGTGTGTGTGTGTGTGTGTGTGTGTGTGTGTAGGTGTGGCGCTTGGATCTCCATGGAAGAAGAATAATCTGCCCTGACTGTAAGTACAAGTTGCACGATATTAAAGAAAAATGTGATGTTCGATATGCAAAACAATAATGCTTAAAGTGTGCAAAATATAATTTGAATATATATTTTAAAGATAATTTAAGTTTATAACCTACATACGTTTCTTTTTGTGACAAGAAAACACCCCTATATATATGGAGTTAATATTGTGCCATAATTAAACAAACAAATCCAGCATTTTGCAAACAAACTCGATCTGCTTTGCAAAGGAAAACTCGACTCGCAAACTAACAGAAAGCAATTTGAGCGAAAATGCAGTGGAGTAACACACATGCATTGTGTTTCGCAAATATAAATAAATGAGCCTAGATAATATTTAACAAATAAATACAAACAATCCTACAAATTGCAGTTTTGTAAAAAAGCAACATATGATGGCAGTGCTAATGTGGATTTCTGTCTAGATATGTAATAAACATGGTTTGTATTTATTTGTGAAATATGATCTAGGCTCATTTATTTATATTTGCAATACACAATGCATGTGTGTTACACTGCATTTTCGCTCAAATTGACCTTTGACCTTGCACATTGCTTCGTTTGTTTGCGAGTCGAGTTTTCCTTTGCAAAGCAGATCGAGTTTGTTTGCAAAATGCTGGATTTGTTTGTTTAATTATGGCACAATAATAACTCCATATATACATTTGCGATATTTCGATATATCGTGCAGCCCTAGCAAAAAACATCATCATGACTGGTGCACACTTGACATTAATATTCACGCTCACCCTGACCCGCTCTCAGTCACACACAGGCGATGGGGTCTCGTGATCGGCGCGTCTCTGACTCTCCTGACTCTCCTGTGTCTCCTGGTGTTCGTCACACGCTGGCTGATCAGAAGAAGCACATCAGGTCAGTCCACACACACTCCTGCCCACAGACACTCCTGCCCACAGACACTCCTGCCCACACACACTCCTGTGCACAGACACTCCTGCCCACAGACACTCCTGCCCACAGACACTCCTGCCCACAGACACACACTCCTGCCCACAGACACTCCTGTCCACACACACTCCTGTCCACAGACACTCCTGTCCACAGACACTCCTGCCCACACACACTCCTGTCCACACACTCCTGCCCACACACACTCCTGCCCACACACACTCCTGCCCACACACACTCCTGCCCACACACACTCCTGCCCACACACACTCCTGCCCACAGACACTCCTGCCCACAGACACTCCTGCCCACAGACACTCCTGTCCACACACACTCCTGCCCACAGACACTCCTGCCCACAGACACCCCTGCCCACAGACACTCCTGTCCACACACACTCCTGCCCACAGACACTCCTGCCCACAGACACTCCTGTCCACACACACTCCTGTCCACACACACTCCTGCCCACAGACACTCCTGCCCACAGACACTCCTGCCCACAGACACTCCTGCCCACAGACACTCCTGCCCACAGACACTCCTGCCCACAGACACTCCTGTCCACACACACTCCTGCCCACACACACTCCTGCCCACACACACTCCTGTCCACACACACTCCTGTCCACACACACTCCTGTCCACACACACTCCTGTCCACGAACACTCCTGTCCACACACACTCCTGCCCACACACACTCCTGCCCACAGACACTCCTGTCCACAGACACTCCTGTCCACAGACACTCCTGCCCACAGACACTCCTGCCCACAGACACTCCTGCCCACACACACTCCTGCCCACACACACTCCTGCCCACAGACACTCCTGCCCACAGACACTCCTGTCCACACACACTCCTGCCCAGACACACTCCTGCCCACAGACACTCCTGTCCACAGACACTCCTGTCCACAGACACTCCTGCCCACAGACACTCCTGCCCACAGACACTCCTGCCCACAGACACTCCTGCCCACAGACACTCCTGCCCACAGACACTCCTGCCCACAGACACTCCTGCCCACAGACACTCCTGCCCACAGACCCCCTTTGCCCACAGACACTCCTGTCCACAGACACTCCTGCCCACAGACACTCCTGTCCACACACCCTCCTGTCCACACACCCTCCTGTCCACAGACACTCCTGCCCACAGACACTCCTGTCCACAGACACTCCTGTCCACACACCCTCCTGTCCACAGACACTCCTGCCCACAGACACTCCTGCCCACAGACACTCCTGTCCACAGACACTCCTGTCCACAGACACTCCTGCCCACAGACACTCCTGCCCACAGACACTCCTGCCCACAGACACTCCTGTCCACACACCCTCCTGTCCACAGACACTCCTGTCCACAGACACTCCTGCCCACAGACACTCCTGTCCACACACCCTCCTGTCCACACACCCTCCTGTCCACAGACACTCCTGCCCACAGACACTCCTGTCCACAGACACTCCTGCCCACAGACACTCCTGTCCACAGACACTCCTGTCCACAGACACTCCTGTCCACAGACACTCCTGCCCACAGACACTCCTGCCCACAGACACTCCTGTCCACAGACACTCCTGCCCACAGACACTCCTGCCCACAGACACTCCTGCCCAAAGACACTCCTGTCCACAGACACTCCTGTCCACAGACACTCCTGTCCACAGACACTCCTGTCCACAGACACTCCTGCCCACAGACACTCCTGTCCACAGACACTCCTGTCCACACACCCTCCTGCCCACAGACACTCCTGCCCACAGACACTCCTGTCCACAGACACTCCTGTCCACAGACACTCCTGCCCACAGACACTCCTGCCCACAGACACTCCTGCCCACAGACACTCCTGTCCACACACCCTCCTGTCCACAGACACTCCTGTCCACAGACACTCCTGCCCACAGACACTCCTGTCCACACACCCTCCTGTCCACACACCCTCCTGTCCACAGACACTCCTGCCCACAGACACTCCTGCCCACAGACACTCCTGCCCACAGACACTCCTGTCCACAGACACTCCTGTCCACAGACACTCCTGCCCACAGACACTCCTGCCCACAGACACTCCTGCCCACAGACACTCCTGCCCACAGACACTCCTGTCCACAGACACTCCTGTCCACAGACACTCCTGTCCACAGACACTCCTGTCAACAGACACTCCTGTCCACAGACACTCCTGTCCACAGACACTCCTGTCCACAGACACGCCTGCCCACAGACACTCCTGCCCACAGACACTCCTGCCCACAGACACCCCTGCCCACAGACACTCCTGCCCACACACACTCCTGCCCACAGACAACCCTGCCCACAGACACTCCTGTCCACACACACTCCTGCCCACAGACACTCCTGCCCACAGACACTCCTGTCCACAGACACTCCTGCCCACAGACACTCCTGTCCACAGACACTCCTGTCCACACACACTCCTGTCCACACACACTCCTGTCCACACACACTCCTGCCCACAGACACTCCTGTCCACAGACACTCCTGTCCACACACACTCCTGTCCACGAACACTCCTGTCCACACACACTCCTGTCCACAGACACTCCTGTCCACAGACACTCCTGCCCACAGACACTCCTGCCCACAGACACTCCTGCCCACAGACACTCCTGCCCACAGACACTCCTGCCCACAGACACTCCTGTCCACACACACTCCTGTCCACACACACTCCTGCCCACAGACACTCCTGCCCACAGACACTCCTGTCCACGAACACTCCTGTCCACACACACTCCTGTCCACAGACACTCCTGTCCACAGACACTCCTGCCCACAGACACTCCTGCCCACAGACACTCCTGCCCACAGACACTCCTGTCCACAGACACTCCTGCCCACAGACACTCCTGCCCACAGACACTCTTGTCCACAGACACTCCTGCCCACAGACACTCCTGCCCACAGACACTCCTGCCCACAGACACTCCTGCCCACAGACACTCCTGCCCACAGACACTCCTGTCCACAGACACTCCTGCCCACAGACACTCCTGCCCACAGACACTCCTGCCCACAGACACTCCTGTCCACAGACACTCCTGTCCACAGACACTCCTGTCCACAGACACTCCTGTCAACAGACACTCCTGTCAACAGACACTCCTGTCCACAGACACTCCTGCCCACAGACACTCCTGCCCACAGACACCCCTGCCCACAGACACCCCTGCCCACACACACTCCTGCCCACAGACAACCCTGCCCACAGACACTCCTGTCCACACACACTCCTGCCCACAGACACTCCTGCCCACAGACACTCCTGCCCACAGACACTCCTGTCCACAGACACTCCTGCCCACAGACACTCCTGCCCACAGACACCCCTGCCCACAGACACTCCTGCCCACATACACTCCTGCCCACAGACACTCCTGTCCACAGACACTCCTGTCCACACACACTCCTGCCCACAGACACTCCTGCCCACAGACACTCCTGCCCACAGACACTCCTGCCCACAGACACTCCTGTCCACAGACACTCCTGCCCACACACACTCCTGCCCACAGACACTCCTGTCCACAGACACTCCTGTCCACAGACACTCCTGCCCACACACCCTCCTGCCCACAGACACTCCTGCCCACAGACACTCCTGCCCACAGACACTCCTGCCCACAGACACTCCTGCCCACAGACACTCCTGTCCACAGACACTCCTGCCCACACACACTCCTGTCCACACACACTCCTGTCCACAGACACTCCTGCCCACAGACACTCCTGTCCACAGACACTCCTGCCCACAGACACTCCTGCCCACAGACACTCCTGCCCACAGACACTCCTGTCCACAGACACTCCTGTCCACAGACACTCCTGCCCACAGACACCCCTGCCCACAGACACTCCTGCCCACACACACTCCTGCCCACAGACACTCCTGCCCACAGACACCCCTGCCCACAGACACTCCTGCCCACAGACACCCCTGCCCACAGACACTCCTGCCCACAGACACTCCTGTCCACAGACACTCCTGTCCACAGACACTCCTGTCCACACACACTCCTGTCCACAGACACTCCTGCCCACAGACACTCCTGCCCACAGACACTCCTGTCCACAGACACTCCTGTCCACAGACACTCCTGTCCACAGACACTCCTGCCCACAGACACTCCTGTCCACAGACACTCCTGCCCACACACCCTCCTGTCCACAGACACTCCTGCCCACAGACACTCCTGCCCACAGACACTCCTGCCCACAGACACTCCTGCCCACAGACACTCCTGCCCACACACACTCCTGCCCACACACACTCCTGCCCACAGACACCCCTGCCCACAGACACCCCTGCCCACAGACACCCCTGCCCACAGACACTCCTGCCCACAGACACTCCTGTCCACAGACACTCCTGTCCACAGACACTCCTGTCCACACACACTCCTGTCCACAGACACTCCTGTCCACAGACACTCCTGCCCACAGACACTCCTGTCCACAGACACTCCTGTCCACAGACACTCCTGCCCACAGACACTCCTGTCCACAGACACTCCTGCCCACACACCCTCCTGTCCACAGACACTCCTGCCCACAGACACTCCTGCCCACAGACACTCCTGCCCACAGACACTCCTGCCCACAGACACTCCTGCCCACAGACACTCCTGCCCACACACACTCCTGCCCACACACACTCCTGTCCACACACACTCCTGTCCACAGACACTCCTGCCCACAGACACTCCTGTCCACAGACACTCCTGTCCACAGACACTCCTGCCCACAGACACTCCTGTCCACAGACACTCCTGTCCACAGACACTCCTGCCCACAGACACTCCTGCCCACAGACACTCCTGCCCACAGACACTCCTGTCCACAGACACTCCTGCCCACAGACACTCCTGTCCACACACACTCCTGTCCACACACACTCCTGTCCACAGACACTCCTGCCCACAGACACTCCTGTCCACAGACACTCCTGTCCACAGACACTCCTGCCCACAGACACTCCTGCCCACAGACACTCCTGCCCACAGACACTCCTGTCCACAGACACTCCTGTCCACAGACACTCCTGCCCACAGACACCCCTGCCCACAGACACTCCTGCCCACACACACTCCTGCCCACAGACACCCCTGCCCACAGACACTCCTGCCCACAGACACCCCTGCCCACAGACACTCCTGTCCACAGACACTCCTGTCCACAGACACTCCTGCCCACAGACACTCCTGCCCACAGACACTCCTGCCCACAGACACTCCTGCCCACACACACCCCTGCCCACAGACACTCCTGTCCACAGACACTCCTGTCCACAGACACCCCTGCCCACAGACACTCCTGCCCACAGACACCCCTGCCCACAGACACTCCTGCCCACAGACACTCCTGCCCACAGACACCCCTGCCCACAGACACTCCTGCCCACAGACACTCCTGTCCACAGACACCCCTGCCCACAGACACTCCTGTCCACAGACACTCCTGTCCACAGACACTCCTGCCCACAGACACCCCTGCCCACAGACACTCCTGCCCACACACACTCCTGCCCACAGACACCCCTGCCCACAGACACTCCTGCCCACAGACACCCCTGCCCACAGACACTCCTGTCCACAGACACTCCTGTCCACAGACACTCCTGCCCACAGACACCCCTGCCCACAGACACTCCTGCCCACACACACTCCTGCCCACAGACACCCCTGCCCACAGACACTCCTGCCCACAGACACCCCTGCCCACAGACACTCCTGTCCACAGACACTCCTGTCCACAGACACTCCTGCCCACAGACACTCCTGCCCACAGACACTCCTGCCCACAGACACTCCTGCCCACACACACTCCTGCCCACACACACTCCTGCCCACACACACTCCTGTCCACACACACTCCTGTCCACAGACACTCCTGCCCACAGACACTCCTGTCCACAGACACTCCTGTCCACAGACACTCCTGCCCACAGACACTCCTGCCCACAGACACTCCTGTCCACAGACACTCCTGTCCACAGACACTCCTGCCCACAGACACTCCTGCCCACAGACACTCCTGCCCACAGACACTCCTGCCCACAGACACTCCTGCCCACAGACACTCCTGCCCACAGACACTCCTGTCCACAGACACTCCTGCCCACAGACACTCCTGTCCACACACACTCCTGTCCACACACACTCCTGTCCACAGACACTCCTGCCCACAGACACTCCTGTCCACAGACACTCCTGTCCACAGACACTCCTGCCCACAGACACTCCTGCCCACAGACACTCCTGCCCACAGACACTCCTGCCCACAGACACTCCTGTCCACAGACACTCCTGTCCACAGACACTCCTGCCCACAGACACCCCTGCCCACAGACACTCCTGCCCACACACACTCCTGCCCACAGACACCCCTGCCCACAGACACTCCTGCCCACAGACACCCCTGCCCACAGACACTCCTGTCCACAGACACTCCTGTCCACAGACACTCCTGCCCACAGACACTCCTGTCCACAGACACTCCTGCCCACAGACACTCCTGTCCACAGACACCCCTGCCCACAGACACTCCTGCCCACACACACTCCTGCCCACAGACACCCCTGCCCACAGACACTCCTGCCCACAGACACCCCTGCCCACAGACACTCCTGTCCACAGACACTCCTGTCCACAGACACTCCTGTCCACAGACACTCCTGCCCACAGACACCCCTGCCCACAGACACTCCTGCCCACAGACACTCCTGCCCACAGACACTCCTGCCCACAGACACTCCTGTCCACAGACACTCCTGTCCACAGACACTCCTGTCCACACACACTCCTGTCCACAGACACTCCTGTCCACAGACACTCCTGCCCACAGACACTCCTGTCCACAGACACTCCTGTCCACAGACACTCCTGTCCACACACACTCCTGTCCACACACACTCCTGTCCACAGACACTCCTGTCCACACACACTCCTGCCCACAGACACTCCTGTCCACAGACACTCCTGCCCACAGACACTCTTGCCCACAGACACTCCTGTCCACAGACACTCCTGTCCACAGACACTCCTGTCCACACACACTCCTGTCCACAGACACTCCTGTCCACAGACACTCCTGCCCACAGACACTCCTGCCCACAGACACTCCTGCCCACAGACACTCCTGTCCACAGACACTCCTGTCCACAGACACTCCTGTCCACAGACACTCCTGCCCACAGACACTCCTGTCCACAGACACTCCTGCCCACACACCCTCCTGTCCACAGACACTCCTGCCCACAGACACTGCCACAGACACTCCTGCCCACAGACACTCCTGCCCACAGACACTCCTGCCCACATACACTCCTGCCCACACACACTCCTGTCCACACACACTCCTGTCCACACACACTCCTGTCCACACACACTCCTGCCCACAGACACTCCTGCCCACACACACTCCTGTCCACACACACTCCTGTCCACACACACTCCTGTCCACACACACTCCTGTCCACACACACTCCTGCCCACAGACACTCCTGCCCACAGACATGTCTATGCAAGATGGAGTTATAGTAAAATACTTGGTAACACTAAGGTTTCTTAGTTAACTACTTTAGTTAACATGAACTAAGTATGAACAATACTTCTACAGCATTTATTAATCTTAGTTAATTTCATTTCAACATTTACATATGTTATTAAAATCAAAAGTTGTATTAGTTAACATTAGTTAATACACTGTGAACTAACATGAACTAACAATGAACAGCTGGATTTTTATTAACTAACATTAGCAAAGAAAATTAAATACCGTAACAAATGTATCGCTCACGTTAGGTAATAGATTAACTGATGAAACTTATTGTAAAGTTTTACCAAATATGTGAACCGGGTGTGTATTCAGGTAGTTATCCATGAATCTGTCCACAGTTTAACTAACTTAATTAGAGATTCTCCTAAAACTGTCTCTCCACCATGTAGAGCTGAAAGAGGACACACTCTTACTTTAATTCCTGTTACAGCGTCAATGCTGAGAGTAAACATTCCTCAAAGCATCGGATGAAAAAATAGTAAAATAATCCCACTTTCCCACACACAAAATAATCCCAGATATGGCAACACTGTACCACAATGGAAAATGGTCAAAGTAGTTTTTCTATAATATTATGATTTTCTTTTTCTATTTAAATGCACATTTCTTTTAGAAATGTATAGATTTATATACTTGGAACTCATGCAAACCAAAGAAAAAGTAGATCCCAATCATTTGGCTAACTCGTCCTTAATCTCATCACATGGAAGAGCAACTATTGCTTTTTCCGTAAAATATCGCTGTATTCCTTTTCTGAAATGAAGAAATCAATTTGTTATTTATACATGCATATAACTATACTACAATAAACACTTCAAATAAATAAAAAACTGCAATCATATTGTTGATGCCACTACCTATAAAAGAATCCCAATGGGGACATACATTACAGCAATTCCACTGTGGTACAGCGTTGCCATGTGGAAACATTGATATTTTCTCAATTTACAATAAAATTATGTTAGACAAAGTGGATTTGTGAATGAAAATATCTATTTTATAAATTTCTATAAATATTTACTTATAAAAGATGCTGCAAGTTTATTATTATTGCCGGAGTCTCTGAAGCTCGCGTAAAAGCTCCCTCTTTTGAACGGAGGCGGAGCTGCAGCTCATTTGCATTTAAAGGGACACGCACAAAAACTGCATGCTTTTACTCACCCAAAAAGGGGCAAATTTGCCAAGCTATAATAAATGATCTGGGGGGATTTTGAGCTGAAATTTCAGACACATTCTGAAGACGCCAGAGACTAATATTACATCTTGTGATCTTGTGAAAAGGGGCATAATATGTCACCTTTAAAATGCTTTAATGCTGTGTTAGAAAGGATAATTATATGTCTTTCTTTCCTCAGTGTGGCGTAGCGCTGACCGACGCCCCGTGCTGCTTGTGTGCTCATCTAACACCTCAACACATGTCTCTGCAGTGTGCAGTTTGGCCTCCGGCCTGCAGGGGGAGCTGTGTATGGACGTCAGGCTGGCGCAGTGGATGCAGTGCCAACCACAATCCTCTCTGGCTCAGCTGGGACCCGTGCCGTGGCTGTATGGTCAGTGTCGGGCCGTTCAGAAGGCCGGCGGGCTCGTCCTGATTGCCTGGAGCCCTGACGCACATCGGGCTTATCTAAGATGGAGGAACAGCGAAGGAAAGGCTAAGTTCAGTGCTGTTGAAGAAGAAGAAGAAGAAGAAGAGGAAGAAGCAGAAGAGGAAGAATGCATGGAGAAACCAATTGAGTTGTCGTGCATCACGGCTCCTGTGTTTAACGCTGCGCTGTCCTGTCTGTTGATGGGAATACGCAGCGATGGCTACGCTCAGGGATTCAGGCTAGTTAGCTTCCAGAACAACAACAGTAACACTTTCATCCCAAAACGGCTCCGGTGTGTCCGGAAGTACTGCCTCCCGAAGGACCTTTCGTCTTTAATACACGACCTGACCGGCTCAAACACTAGATGGCGATGTTGGCCACGTCTTCTGTCCAAAGCGCTGTCGTTCTTCATGTCTCGGCAGCTCGCGCCGACGCTAGCGGCGAAGCTTCCCGTGCCGACCGACAGCCCTAAACTCGTTCCTGGCTTCTCACGGAAAGTAACTAAGCGAAAGACGTGGAGGCAAAAGAAGCGCAGAAGTAAAGTCGTAACATCGTGCTTGTCCGGAAAAGGGAGTTGGAAGAAAAAGACTGCGCCAGAGCCAATGAATTCGTAGTATGTATTGGCAACATAGTGCAAAAAAATATTGTCACCCGTTGGTTTCTGAAGAGCATTTTTGAAGCCTAAAGTGGGCGGAGCCGGCCGTCGCCATCTTGGTAGCGCGTCACTCCCGGATAAACGAAAATGGGCAGCGAGACGGATTAGCTGAGGTGACGTGACGCTAACAGACAGCAGACAAGCGCTAGTAGTGACATCAGCGGCAATCCACCTGTCACTCAAGAGGCCACGCCCTTAATTATGCAGAACTTTAAGGCTTAATATAATTTTAACGGATGAGTTATAAAACAATTCACCCCCCTCACTGTTGTCATGAAGGGTAAAATTAGTTATAAAGACCAAAACCACTTTTTGCACCAGACTGTAAACATATATTTTTTTCTGCTGTAAAGTTGGGCATTTTAACATGGGGGTCTATGGGATTGACTCTCTTTTGAAGCCTGTCTCTAGTGGCCAGTCGATGAATTGCAGTTTAAATCACTTCAGTGCTGGATTCAAGAGAGAGACTGGAAGGTTGCCGCTTGGTCGGCACACAGAAGGAATGAGAAACTTTCAGACTGATCAAAGCAAAGGTGATTCAGACAGAGTCACCTGCCGATTTCAATGCAACATCACAGTCCGTCCAGCAGGGGGACATTAAACATTCTCACAGCGAAGTACGGTTTTCATTCTTCGCTTAGGAATGAAAAGAAGTTTGAAATACCTTTGCATCTGATCATAGTGATGTGGATATGTTTGCACCAGCTCTGCAATTCAGTCACGTCACGTTTATTCATACAGCACTTTATACAATAGATTGCTTTAAAGCAACAGCTTTACAGTATTAAACATGAAAAACAGTGTCAATGACGCTTTCAATTAGAATTACAACTTCAGTTTCTTCTATAAAGCAGCTTTCAGTGTGTTCATGTTTTCACTCACATCTGACCTCAATGGACTGAACAGAAGAAATTAATCTGAGACAATTTACACCTCAAAGAAGGTGGGGCCTCTGAGCCACAGCCACCTATTACATCATCACCACTGACCAATAGGAGTTCAAAGGTGTTTACCAGCTGGAGTGAATTTTAGCTGTAGCCAAAGCAAGTGGCAGCAGATCAAGTATCAATCATCGCATCCATATATATATATATATATATATATATATATATATATATATATATATATATATATATATATATACACTCACCGGCCACTTTATTAGGTACCCCATGCTAGTAACGGGTTGGACCCCCTTTTGCCTTCAGAACTGCCTCAATTCTTCGTGGCATAGATTCAACAAGGTGCTGGAAGCATTCCTCAGGGAGTTTGGTCCATATTGACATGATGGCATCACACAGTTGCCGCAGATTTGTCGGCTGCACATCCATGATGCGAATCTCCCGTTCCACCACATCCCAAAGATGCTCTATTGGGTTGAGATCTGGTGACTGTGGAGGCCATTTTAGTACAGTGAACTCATTGTCATGTTCAAGAAACCAATTTGAAATGATTCGAGCTTTGTGACATGGTGGAAGTAGCCATCAGAGGATGGGTACATGGTGGCCATAAAGGGATGGACATGGTCAGAAACAATGCTCAGGTAGGCCGTGGCATTTAAACGATGCCCAATTGGCACTAAGGGGCCTAAAGTGTGCCAAGAAAACATCCCCCACACCATTACACCACCACCACCAGCCTGCACAGTGGTAACAAGGCATGATGGTTCCATGTTCTCATTCTGTTTACGCCAAATTCTGACTCTAACATCTGAATGTCTCAACAGAAATCAAGACTCATCAGACCAGGCAACATTTTTCCAGTCTTCAACTGTTGCAAATTGTAGCCTCTTTTTCCTATTTGTAGTGGAGATGAGTGGTACCCGGTGGAGTCTTCTGCTGTTGTAGCCCATCCGCCTCAAGGTTGTGCGTGTTGTGGCTTCACAAATGCTTTGCTGCATACCTCGGTTGTAACGAGTGGTTATTTCAGTCACTGTTGCCCTTCTATCAGCTCGAACCAGTCTGGCCATTCTCCTCTGACCTCTGGCATCAACAAGGCATTTCCGCCCACAGAACTGCCGCTCACTGGATGTTTTTTCTTTTTCGGACCATTCTCTGTAAACCCTAGAGATGGTTGTGCGTGAAAATCCCAGTAGATTAGCAGTTTCTGAAATACTCAGACCAGCCCTTCTGGCACCGACAATCATGCCACGTTCAAAGTCACTCAAATCAACTTTCTTCCCCATACTGATGCTCGGTTTGAACTGCAGGAGATTGTCTTGACCATGTCTACACGCCTAAATGCACTGAGTTGCCGCCATGTGATTGGCTGCTTAGAAATTAAGTGTTAACGAGCAGTTGGACAGGTGTACCTAATAAAGTGGCCGGTGAGTGTATATATATATATATATATATATATATATATATATATATATATATATATATATATTAAATAGATCCAACAAAACAGTAAAAGATTGTCATACTAAGATTGGCATCTGAACCATTTATTTAGTGCCTGCTTAAAACCTCCTAAACTTCTGATCATCTTTAGATTTCCTGGCAACCTGATCAAATATTTGGGGACAGTCCTATGTACCATGCACAGGTGAATCTGAGAGACTCGATCCTCTACTTTTAACCACCCAATAGCCTCAAAATAAGAAGTATCAAGATGAGATCTCATGGGAAGGTTCAAAATAAGCCTTATAACCTTATTTTGAGCAGTCTGAAGCCTATGTTTCAGGTGGTTTAAGACACCATTGTACGAAGAGAAACATGCGTAGTCAAAATAAGGCTGAATTAGAGCACTTGCCAGAGTTGACATCGCTTTCTTGTCTAGAAACCTTGAGATTCTGGCCTAGAAACCATTTCTTTGATTTACCTTGGCGAGTACCTTTTGCGCTTGGCCCATTCCAGACAAGTGGCAGTCCAGCACACAGCCAAGGTAACTAACTGAGTCCTTTACATTAATCTCATTATCTCCAACTAAAACCTTAAATCCAGGGGATCTTTTCAGTTTTTTTTTTTTAACCAAACAATATAGTGTCCGGTTTCCCTAAGTGAAGCGATCCTATCGTCTGACATTCACCCGCTGACATTCGGTAGTTCTACAACTATGTTCTTATCTTTATGTGAAACCAATAACGCAGAATCATCTGCATTTAAAAAAAGTTCACATGGACATACAGACTTGAGGACATTTATATATAGAAGACCCAAGACACTCCCTTGAGGACCCCACATACTAATTGGTTCCTTGATCAGCTGATGCAAACTAAAGGAGCGACAAAAATTCATTACCGTCTTATAGCCGGAGTCTTTCGAGTATCAGTATTAAAATCTCCTATCATGATAACTTCAGATTTGACAAAATCCATACACTTTGACCAGACTTCTTCCAGAATTTCATAAAGCATTGTCTGGTCAGGTGGCCTAGCATGCTCCAAATATAGGCTTGCTCTTCGGCAACAGAATGTTTGTCCATTCAATTTGTTCATTATTCAAGTCCGTTCTCTGATTAAAACCAATGTCTGATCTCACACCTCCACCTTTACGGTTTCGGTCTCTTCTGATTAAAATATAGTTCTCTATTTCAGTTGTTGTCCAGCCTTGTCTCAGTAAAACAAAACAAAAAAATAGAGTATTGTATTGTATTGTATTGTTTCTGCTTCTCATGTTATCAAGATGAACCGCTTGTTCCTCATTTGTAAGTCCCTTTGGATAAAAGCATCTGCTAAATGAATGCATGTGAAGAATGAAATGAACTCCCTACAGACTGCATGGTGCAGAGAAATGAAGAGCATGTAAAGTATTTATCTTCTGATGTGATTTTTTTTTAATAAATGAAAAGCCCCCAACCTGTAAAGTCTTTTCTCAAAGAAAATCTAGAGTTTCCTATTGGTAATTATGACATTCTGATGCTATGCACACATGTTGACACATCTGAAGCGTTCAGTGTAAGCACTCTCTCAAGGAAACAAGTGACCTCATCCTGTACAAATAAATGTGAAATTCTCTATTTTTGTATAAAAACCTGCATCTGTATACTTTTATTTGTTTATGAGTATAAATAAACGCACCAAACATCCATACTCCGCTTTATCTGATTATTATTTCACCACAGCCCAGCCTAATGATCTCTCTGTCTGTAAAACACACACATCATCCTGAAGAAGATGCAAAGCAGTTTTCGGCTGGTCACATTCACAATGATGTTATCTTTATTTTGGCTGAATCAGGAACCATCTTGGACCCATTTGACCAACAGTGAAATCTATGCAAATGTGTCTGTATAGCCGGAAGAGCGCGTGCTTATGTTTCATGAAATGCATGTATGGACCTGAAACCACAGGATCTATATATCCTGGATCCTGTGAAGAAGCTATTTTCCCTCGAGCTATTATCATAAATGTTTTGTGCACAACATAATTATGTTCGTGAAATGCTACCGAACAGGTTTTCTCAACGGCCCGATGCTTCAGACGAGTGTCCGACCGTAAAGAGACATCATGATCACACCAATTATGGAAAGCTTATGCAAAATATCCCCAAACTCTCGTTTAACATGTGTTAGGTTCGGACAACTGCTGAAGAGTTTCGACTGAAGTCAACATTGGAACAAACCAATGGGAGAGCTTCATTCCGGCTTCTCCGTCATCGATTTGCTCCCCACAATTTTGAATATATTTTCCTCTGTCTTGACTGTCTATTTGTAGAATTTGCTAACATAACGTTAGACTATTTGATATAGCTTTAGACTCGCTTTAGAATTTATAAACATAAATTCAACGTAACAAATAATAATAAATCCCAAAAGTAAAAATTTACAATCTTCTCCAATTTGCTGCAAAAAAAGTGCATTCTCTTAATTCACCCAATAGGTCAAGCTGTTTCTTGTTGATCTCCTGGGGCCTCATTTATAAAACTGTGCGTAGAATCCTTACTAAAAGTGTAGGCTACATGCGCCCGAAAGCCAAAAATGTCGTACGCAAAAAAATATTCAGACTTATAAAACCGTGCGTACGCCAGAACCTGCGCAG